TGTGCAGCAGAGATGTGCAGATTTTCTGCAGATGTGCAGAAAATACATGGTAGTCAGTGGGAGACCTGGGCCCGAGACCCCACTCTCAGGGCCAGCACAGTATCTTTCTGATGTAAGCCAGCCTGAAACATGGCTTGTCTGATCATGCACAGAGAACGAGAGGTGCCTTGTGCCGACAGCCCACAGCGTGGACGGCAGCGCCAGGGAAAGGCAGGCGCCGAGATGATGATGGCTCTGCCCGGCACAGGTAGGTGCAACTGAGGGAGGTTTAATAGCCCTGCCTGTGTTGCAGGGCACAACCAAAAAGGCATTGATTCACGCAGTCCAGTGATTCTAAGAATGCTTTTTGGCCACGAGTACAGTGCATTGTCCTTTATCAGGGAGGCACAGCAGAACACAGGAGTATCAGAACAGCCATCCACTCAAGGCCTGGCTGTCCACAGCTTTCCTCCTGGGAGAGGCCTGTAGCAGTGTCTTGGCGGAGCAGTGTCAGCAACAACACAGAGATTTGCTTGTCCACAGCTTCTCGCAAGGAGCAGCTTAAGCCCTCTGTTGTAGGCTGCATCCTGGCCATGGTGCTTTACTAACCCTCTGAAACCACGTAGTCCGCTTTTGGAACCGCTCGTTTGTCTGATCTCCAGAACGTGCTAAGCAATGCAATCTGTATTTCACTGATACTTTGTGTGGGGAAAAAATTACTTCCTTTTATTTTACCCATGCATGCCTTGCATGTAAAATGCTTAGCAGAGGGAGACCTGAGCCTTATGGGGCCATCTGCTAATATTAAGGTGTTCCTGTACCCAGGATCAGGTACAGCATCAATAGGAGTGACTCAAAAGTATCTAGAGACAAAACATCCGTTTAGTCACTTAGATCTTCTCATTTTGTGGTAATACTTGTTAATATAAGATACGCTTGGAAGCACATTGCTGAAGGCTTCAATTCAAGGTGGTATCTGTAAACCACTTGGCTTCAGAGAATTTCAGACCCGTGCAGCTGTTTAATCCTGGTTATTTATCACCTTAAATCTTGGGATCTGTTTGTAGAGGTAGCAAGATAGAGGTAGGCAGCTGCATTTGTAGCCTGTAGAGAGTGGATGGGGTTTTCTGTTTAGATCAAGTGCCTTTACCATTGTTGCCTTCCTCTTTTGATACCTACAGAGTGCACAGTAGGGCAGTGGAACAGCTGTTGTGTTTGGCTCCATGGGGATAGATTATATTTCAGGAGATCTTTAATTAAAGACAAGAACAAAAAAATTGTTTTGTATTTCACAGCTTTGCTTTAATTTTGCGAGGTTCCTTGATGAAATGTATAAACAGTGCGATCTCGGCAGACAGGTATTTCCTGCAAAGCTTACTCCAGTTCCTCACAGCGTGATAGCTGTCTGGACTATATGCTGATACAGGTGAGGAACCTCACCTCCTGCACATCTTTGCTGGCTACCACAGCCTGTGGGCCAGGCTTGTCCGTAGAAGCCACAGAAGCAGGGCTGCACAGTCCCTCAGGTAAGAGGTGACTCTGAGGAGTGTTAGCCCCTTGAAGCTGAGCAGTGCAGCTGAGGTACTGCAGAGGTGTTGCCATTGTGAGAATGTACAGTAAGTCTAGGACTGCTTTTTCCTGAGTGTAACCATGTCCTCTGGACACAGAGCATAACACTGTCAGCAGTGGGGCAACAGCAACGCTCCAGGCTGAAACCAAAATCCTTGCTCAGTTTTGAGAGGGTGATTGAGGATTTAGAATTATTCTTGTTCAGTTCATTTGTGTGTTTGTTAATGATGTTGTGCTGCTATTTCACTTTTTATTCTTAAAGAATTAAGACAGTGGACTAGCCCTCAGGAGGGGTTAAGAACAGATCAGAGAGTCTCATTAGGGCTGTGTAGAAATGTTTTTTTTCTACACTAGCAAATAGTGCAGCCCAGGAGGACCAGAGCTGTAGGGTCAGACAGTTGTCAGCAAGGACCTGATGTTCACACTATACACGTTTCATGAGGGTTTGTTTCAGACCCGCATTAGTCCAGCTTTATGGTCTGTGAGCCAGCTGCAATGGATCATTTGGGTTAGCTTCATCCAAAAGCAATTTAGTTTTGCCCACTGTACCTGCCCAGCACCAGGGACCACAGGACAGTAGGTGGGGACAATCAGGAGTTGCATGCTCCTGATTTGAACTAAAATGCTAATTTAGCCACACAAAATGTAGAATTAGGACAAGGCAAACATGGGTGGGTAGTTGGTGCTGTGTACTGTGGCCAAAGGATTATTTATGGTTCAGTCTACAGCATTCCTAAGACAAATGAGCACCACAAGCACCGTGCAGCAGTCATGCATCCAAACCCCCTCTGCTTTAGTACCTGCTGGTGCATACACAATGCAGAAGGTCAGAGCCCGTCTCCAAGCAGCTGGCTACAGGCAAGCATGGTACTGCTGCTATACCTTTAAGAGTACTAGAAAGCATGTAGTAAGAATAGAAACCTCATGGCTTGGTTATCTGAATATCCCTTGATCATTAGACGCTACTGTGAGCCCAGTGGAACCTGCAGAAGAGATACAGGGAAAATGATACTGTTTAAAAGTTTGGATTACCTTTTATTGTGGAAATAGAAATTATAGGTAAGTTGAGGCACAACAGCTGTTGCAGGCACTGTCACAGCCTGGCCTCCTTAACATACATGGCTTTAGCCAAAGGTCAGATTTCTGTCCCTTTCCTGGCTATTACATGAGAAAGGTATCTGCTAGCTGGAGGTTGTTAATGAAGGACAGGGTATGATCACAGGCTGCTGTATTAGTGTGAACACCCTTCAGGTGATTTCCTTGGCTTTGTATATTGGTGTAGGGATGTTAGCTACTCCTGATTCTCCTTAAGAAAGAGTAGAGCACATTACAGACACTGTACTGTAACAAAGAGCTTTATGTCAGCGTGTCACAATGTCCCGTCTCTCCCAGCAACCCATCAGATATTGCATCAATATAGTCAATACTGAAGGTGTCAAAGTAGAAAGTGAGTGCAAATAAAATTACTACAGAGCTGTAGCATGAAATTCATGAACTTATCTCAGCCTTCAGTACCATACAGTGTCTTGCAAATATAAAAAAAAAGCTAACTTTTTTCCAAACTATTTTTTCTGCAAATTGTGGTGATCCCTTGCTAGAGATCCCACATCTTCTAGACAGCTAAAGCTATGCTAAGTATGTCAAGCCTTTGTTTTTGCTTCATATACACAATCACATTACTTCACAACGACATACAGCTGAAAAACACCAAGCTGATTGTCAGAAGGCTTTAAACTCTCCCTCATTGACCTAGGGTTGAAATAGCCTGTCCCAAACTGCATGCTGTAATTGGAAGCCCTGAGTTTTTGATTAAAAGTGAGCTTCTGCTTTCCGCCCCTAGGAGAGTTGCTGGCAGCAGAGTTTACCAGGGGACTGGAAACTACAGCCTGGTGCTAGTGAGAAAGCCTTATGTTCAGTCTCAAGATAGCCCAGAGGGAAGAGAGGAAGAGCCAGAATCCCATAGTCTTAGAGAGCTATTAAGGGTTTGATCTTGATCTTTTTTTTTTTTTATGCTGCCCTCCCCCATCTCTGGAAGAAACTGCACATTTCTACTCCAGGATAGATTTCTTGTGCTGGAATTCTTCCCAGAGTTGGCACAGCTTCAAAGGCTTCTATCTTGGCTGTAGTACCCACATGCTGCTGCAAAAGTCTCTAGGCAAAAGAGTTGGAAACAGGCAAAAGAATAACAACGCTCCAGGGTCCACCAGAAGGCTATACCTCACTGGGATGATTCCCCAAAAGCCAGTCAAACAGGGAAAATCCCTCTCTTCCTTCTCCATCTCCTGTTGGTCACCACAAAGCATCCTAGCCCTTGGCTTCTCTACAGGACCCATGATTTCCAAAGTATGCCACTGTCTTCCCTTTGCTGGTGAGAGCTTTCCCGACAGATCCTGAGTTAGAGCCCCAGTGGCTTCTCCTCGGCAGCCTCTTCCTGTTTCTTCAAGGTCTCAGCAGAACCACTCTGGCCTACAAGCTACTTGGTTTGCATTAAAGATTCTTTTGTAATAGCATCGAGTCACTGGCCAGCAGCCTGTGATGCTGGAAAGCTCTCTTGGGAGCACTCAGGAGAGAAGACTAAGGGCACAAACCTTCATCTACCAGAGCCCTTCAGTCACTCACAGCAGCAGCTTGTTAAAATGATACCAACTATTGCACCTGTAGATGAATGCTGATTGCCTTCACCCTTCTCTGTATGTTGATTCTATACTTCAGTGCTCTTTCAGGCTTAGCCATAAACAGTAATTTCAGCCCACTGACTTACTACTGGGATGTGGGGTGGAGCACTTACCTCAGCAACACAGAACACTCAGGACCAAGACCAGTGTTTGACAGAGCACTGATGTACCTGCCCATGTATTGACACAGCGGGTTGCTACATTTCTATCTACTCTGCAGGTGCAAGGTTCAGGGGGTCCTGCCTGCACAAAAGAGAAAATACCCAAGAAACCTGAGCATGCATAAACTAGTTGCTGTGGAATAATATTGGTCTTTCATCTCAAAAAGCTTGGATCTGTTTCTATTCAGGTTGGATTGCGAATTGTCAGCAAAAAGCTGATCAACAGCAGTGCTGCGGTTCCCTGTGAAGTTTCTTGTAGCGCTGAGGAAGGTTAGTAGTTGGAAAAGGAAGTTTGGTTCCAAATCAGATACTGGCTTTAACTCACAGGCCTGATCCTGCAAGCCTTACTCATGTAAGTGGCTGTCTTGCTTTCAGCAAGATTGGTCCAGCCAGCAGCTCTCAGTAGCTTAGGCCAAAAGCTTTTCTAGATAACTACATCCAGGCTGGAGGGGGAAAGGAGAAGACAGACATCACAAAACTAATTCATTTTCCACAAGAAGGCAGTAATAAAAATGAGATGGTAAGTGAGCCTTGCCCTTAAGGTTACTGAATAGCTACTAAATTAAAGGAAAGGCTAGCATGTTGGGTAATAAATTGTGTCACACTGCGAGCATCAGCAGCAGTTACTATGGACACAGCTTCCAAGAGAGAGACAGGCAAGAAGAGAAAGCTGGAACAAAGAAGACACAGGAGAGCTAAAAAAGGGTTAACTGAGATTTTGAAATACCACTATCTAAAAACCTTGTTCACTATAGAGTCAGTAATCCTTGGCATTCCGAAATTCTGGCATGCTCCAAACCCTCCTGGTGGGCTGGGTGCCCCGTTCCACATCCTCAGAGATGGTCTTGATGCCACTGATGAATGGGGAAATCCTGGACCGAGATTTAAATGTTGTTAAGGAGAGGCTGGTTTTGTTCTTTGTGTTCCATTGCCTGGCAAGCTTCTTGGCCTCTTCCTCTTCTTTGATCTTCTCAGCAGCTTCCTGCAGGACAGAGCGGAAAAGCCGGGACACTTCCTGCACTTCTGGTTCATATTCAGCAACGAGTTGCCGGAATCTGAAAGCACAGTCAAGGCACAGCTTTGATTAAAAACATCAGATTAGGGATTGCTGCCAAGTCACTGTTCTAGGCTTGGAACTTGCACTCTCCTGCAAAATGGGACTCCCTGGACTGAAGGGAACAACAACAGGGAAGAGACATGAAGATATGCTCAAGGTCTCTAAAATCACAAGCAAGCCAGAGAATGTAAGGAAGCAATGAATCACCATTTCTCATAAGCACAAGAAATAATAGGGAGCACCAAACAAAGCTAGAAGGTGGCAAGTTTGAAACAGAAGGAAGTGCTCTTTTCACACAACACCTATTAAATCAGAACCCAGTGCTATCAGTAGCTTAAGAAACACAACGATTAGACAAGTTTGTGGAAAATGTCCCCATCACTGCTGATTAAACATGATTGTCCAAATGCAGATCCTTGCTCAAGTAGTCCCTGAACTGTTCCTTACCAGAAGCTGAGGATAAACCAGGGAAAGTCCCACTAGACTTGCCCTGTTTCCAGTTCTCATCCCCCATAGTGTTACCTAATGGCCACTAGGCAAACAAAAAATCCTGTAAAACTCTGTTATATGTTTGATAGACTCTCAATATTTAAATTTCAGTGAAGTAGTATTTCCTCCTCCTTTGACTTTCTGTGAGATATGGACTAGCTCAGCTGATAACTCCTGGATTGGCAGCACGATGCTGTATCTAATTAGACAACTGTGAATTATTCCAGTGCCTTCTCAGCAAAGAGCTCAAAATATTTTTGACATATATTAAGCTAGCTTAACACCAAGGAAGTGAAGAATTGCCACTGCTTATTTTGCAGGTGAGGGAGATGAGATGCAGAGCAGGAGAGTGTTCTTGAAGTCACTGAGTGGGTCATTGGCTGGGCCAAGAAGAGAACATACCATCCCTGACACCCTGTTGGGTGATTGGTCCCCAGCCTGAAGAGTGTGGGATCTACTCCTAAGGCTCACACACCGGTCACATAGAGTTTCTAATTATTCCATAATAGTATGCATTTATGACAGATGTTAATATGGCTACTTTTGTCATAAATATTCAGTTCTTAACATAAAAACTGTATCTACGAGCAGACACAGAGCTACACTAGTACTCCATGGAAATCCAGGTATTTGTACCTAACGGAAGATAAAGTGTATCGGGTCTGTAAGCATTTTGATATTTACTCCAACAGAACTGAACTACAATAGAAAACAGTAGGACTGCATGTAAATAAGCCTAATACAGTAGAAGCTGATAGAATAAGATCCTGCCTCTTGTTTTTTTGATAAGCCCTAGGAACGTACAAGGAGTTTAGTGCACTATAGCACTGCACTGCATAATGGTGTACCAAAGGGGACCCGAGATAATAAGGACAGGAAGAAAAACAGAGATAAAACAAAAAGACTCTTTGTACATTAATGCCTTTTGACTCTTACTGTGGAGGCCTGGTAGTGGACATGCATCTTAACATCATGCTGTATCCTAGATATTTGGTGTGCTTCTCTCACAGCAAGTATTGGCAGCTGCCTGTACAGCTGTGGAGACACCAGTACTGCATGCTGAGGGAACTCACTGTCAGCAGAAGCACCAGACCCTTTCAGGGTCAAGCTAGAGGAGTTTGACACAAAACCTACCAAAGTCACCAAGATGTTCCTTAACCATTTCAGTTGCTTCAGATGAATTCCTAATCTCCTTCCTCCACCCACTCACCCCCCAGAAAACCCCTCTAAACTTTGAACATTTGGGTGCAAAAAGCCTGTGAGGCACTGGAGTTCACACTGGTACATAAGTACTTACACCATGATGCCAACCTGAATTGTGCAGAGCCTGTAAGAGCAAGAGACTGGGTCTTGCTGAGGTTTGACACATAACAGTGGTACCAGCTTTGCTGTACATTCAAACATCCTTTCTGCCTTCTGAGGAGGCACTTCAGTTGTGTTATCAAAGAGCCAAAAATACAATTTATTCTCACAATAAATACGCTTTTCCCTTTATCCTCGTCAGAAGCACAGAGACATGAGTCCCTTGAAACCAGAGTCTTCACAAAATGATTATTATACCAGGGAAAGCACCTTCAGAGGACTTCTATTGCAGAGGTGAACTGAATGAGTCATTCCGTTATTTTATCTCCATCTGTAATGTAAAGAGAGATGCTGGCATATTATCTATACCTATCAGTACACTCTCTGCTTTTGTATTGGCAATTGTGCACCCAAGAGGCCTCATCATTGCCTCTGGTTTTAGAGGCTGTGTGTCATACCACTGGACTGTGGCTCCAGAGCAGGTAGCAGCATGTGTCAGGCCATTACTGGACCAGTGACTGGCTCTGGGAACAAGAGGGAAATGGGGTGGTACGACAGCAGATTTACCCCCTGGGCACAGAGCTCTAACACTAATGCTCTGTGTTGCTAATACCACTCCCAACCAACCTAGCTGAAATAGTTTCCTAAAATCAGTGTAACTTCCCACCTTCATGGCTATCTGCCTGTCTGCACTCTCCTTAGCTATGGCAGCAAGAATTGCTTTGTCAACTCGACTTTTGCTGTTAAGATTTACCTCTGACTTTTCAGGACTAACACAAAAACTACTTCATATGGATTTGAGCAGGTCTAAGAAACAAAGAGGAAGCAATCCAACAGACTGTCTGCCAGTCACCCAAAGAAAAGCCATAGTCATGCAGATGGAGAAGGGGAAGGGGGGCCTTTCCTTTCCCGCAGTAGGATGACCCTTGCCCTTTTATTAATGCCCACATAACTTCAGTATCAGCACATTTGCGTAAGGGACAGCCCACGTATGAAGTCCAAAAGGTGTGCATGTCACAAACATTTCAGAGCAGAAAGGACGGACAGGTTATCAGGGGCTGAGATCTAGCTAAACCAGTCTGTATGCCAGAAAATAGATTGTGTTTGCTGCAGCCACCTACGCATAATTGAAGCCATCTTCCCCAGCTATCCATGAAAGCCAGTTGGTGTGCTAGATGATCCATCAGTCTGCTCCCTGCACAAAACATGCAACATATAAAACCAGTAAAACCACTGGAATCAAGGAATATAGGTTTGTATCCTGGGAAACAAAGTCCACACCAAGTTTCTCAGTGGAATTAAGCACACAAAATTGCACAAGGCTCACCTATCTTCTAGCACAGGTTAACGCCCTCACACTTTTGCATGGAATAGTTTCAAACTAGGCAACTGCACAACCATATCTAGAAATCCCTCAACAGGTTTTCCTTACTCATCAGAAAAGTATACCTAGCTATCTTATTTGTGAAACAAGCTGTGATACTACTGGTAGCTAACCTGTAATATATTATGCAAGTCACGGAGTTTTAGAGGCGACTGTCAACAAAACCCACCTTGAGGCAGCAGAGAAGCCTGGGGAGTAATTCACATACACACACAGGGATGAGCACATTCCCCAGTCCAGGCTGTATAGTTCAAACAAATTTATTCTGTAAATTGTGACCCTTCCATTTCCTTATATGGCCATTAGATGTTAAGAATCTGGTTGTGCTTGGCTTGTCCTGGCACAGCTCTTTTTAAAGCGCTGTCACCTGCCTATGTTATTCTTTAGGTCCCCGGTAGGTATCCTAAGCACAGCCTGAACTCTAAAGACCTGTTAAATCCAAAGGAAGTCTGTGGACTTAAACAATATGCTTATAGTTCAGTGTATTCCTGAGTGCCTGTCTGAACTGGGACCTCTAAGTAGATTTAGTCATTTGAAGAAAAGATGGGGTGCTTAGTGCTAGTAATTAGCTGCTGACTCCTGAACCTGTATTTTGAGCAGGAATTCTGGTTCTATTGTAAAGCTATGAACAGCTCTGCTAGAGAGGGCTACTCGACTCCCAAAGGACTATGGCATTCACACTAACTAACTGCAACACTCATGTCACATCACCTCAAACTTAAGCTCATAATTATCAATAAATCCATTTCTGATTTTAGTAATTTGTCTTACATTCAAGCACACTAGGAAGCCCACTTTAGCTATACACAACCCTTAGAAAATTACAGGCCTTAGCCTGTGGCATTGAAAACATCTCAGATCACCAAAATGCGGGTTTACATTTCTGTATTAGGGTTTTTTGGTTTGTCTCTCCCTGGGTGGAGAGAAGGACAGAAACCCACTGTTTTGCTGAAACCAAAGGAAATAAAACAGACCATAATGAGCTCTGTGGAGAGCTAAAGCTCTGAGTAAAGATGGCAAAAATCTAGCATTCTGTATTAGCAAGCTACTAAAAAGAGCTACATTTCCAACACAAGAAGAAGGGATTATCGAATAAAATAGTACATGTTAGTTTGAGACAAGCAAACTACTCCTTCAGTTTAACCATGGCAGTTAGGTACTAAGGGCCTCACCAAATCACTGTCACTTCCTTCACGTGGCTCCAGGATTTTAATTTTAAATACAGTCAGCAATCTCCAAGCCAGTAAGCTAAAGCTAAGTTACACCTGACCACAACAGCTTTATTTGTATGAGGTGAATCAGAGTCTCCAGATATCTGCTGGCATTTGCAGTGTACTTGAATCCTTCCAGAATTTCAAGAGACTCAAAGAAGAGTTTCTGTTGACCCAAAATACAAAATGGGCAAACTGGATCTGAAAAAACCCCTCCCACTTAAGAAGTGCTCCTTTCCAGCCTCCTCCACATCTAAAGAAAGAAATCTATAGAAGCTCTGCCTCTCAGTAGATGTGACTGTAGCCACAGAAAAGGACAATTTGGATAATCATTTAGACCTTTGGAGAATAAAGTGACATTTCTGACAAGTCATAGGAAAATGTTTTGTTCTGGCTTTGACTCTGAGCTTAGAACATCACAAAGGAGCCCTTGCATGACACAAACAAACCAAACTGCACTCTTGCAAGATGCATGCTACTTGTGTTATTTAAGTATTGCATACTTGTTGAGTACATCAAAAAGGACTTGAGCTCTTCAAATGTCTAAGATGGAAGGGGAAGGATCAAGCTTAATATTTCAGACAGAACCAAGGGCTTCAGTAGGGTACATGCTCTGCATTTGAATTTCCAAATGCAAGCTCATAGTTTTGTTTTTTTTTTTTGGTGGGAGTTTTTTCTAAAAGTTACTACATATTAGAAAGTCACAAGAGGAAACCAGCAGCGCAAGGATCTTGTGATTAAAGTGCTTCCCTGGAAACATCAAGATTGCAGTTGAGCTCCTATTATACTCATCTTGTGCAATTTTGGGGACGTTGCCATGTTATCTCACTTTCCGAGAGGAGAATTTATCCAGTTTGGGCTGTCTTTTAGTTAGACTGCATGCTCCTTATTTCTCCTGGACATTTTCAGCTCCTAGAGTGGCAAGCCCCATTCTTTTTTCATTGTTTCCACCTCAGCAATGAAGATTTCTGAACCACAGGGCTCTTGGTTAAGAAGGTAGAAAAAAGAGGGGTCTCCTGTTCACATTTCCAACACAATAAGAAGGGACTGTTGAATAAAAGTAGTCCACATTCACTTGAGACAAGCAAAATACAGTATTCTGCAGGGAAGTTGTAGTTCAGATGTGGAAATCTGCCATGGGGTGCCACAAATGCTGAAAGTTTACATGAGTTCAAAAAAGAAAAGCAAAACCCCACAACCTAAACAAACTACTGAAGGAAAAAGCCACATAGGGCAGTTATGGGCAGAAGGACCACTTCTGGCTCTAAAAGTCTCCAGGTGACAAGGCACAGTAAGTTGGAGGCTATATACAAGATATTGTAATTGTCTCTACTGTTGCATTTGCTTGCCTTGTTCTTTTTTCCTTAAACTGATGCTACTGGCCACTATCTCACGTGCAGATTACATATCAGATCAAAAAGACCTTTGAGCCAACCCAGTTCTGCTGTTTTTGTGGCTATGACATTCCCTTCTCAGTCACGAAATTGAACCAGCAATGGTTATGCCAGCCTCACTCTTTTAATGTGGCTCTGCTAACCATGGAAAGTGCATAGTGTGGAACAAACACAAACATGCCACTTCTTGAACCATACTGTAATGAAATCTATGATAGCCTACAACAGCAATTTGTTAGAGGATTTTTAAGATGGTTTTATTCTTGTTCACTTATGCCCACTAGAGCCCACCAATGTTGCTGAGTATGTTTATCTACTGTCAGCAGTATGCTGAATCCTGAACAACAGTGAACAGCCACTAAAGCTGCACTGAAATTACCTCTCTTGTATGATCTCAGTTTAAAAAAAAAAAAAGGAAAGCAGAGCAGCAGCAAGTTGCCCGTGGCTCAGCTTAATACTCTTCTCTGAAGGAGATTATGAACCTTGGGGCCTCCCAACTCCAGCAGCTGAAGCCTGCTCTCATGGAAATAACCTGCTGCCAGACAAGCCTTGCTCAGTGGCCCTGGGGATGGTGAAAATAACTCTGAAGCCCAAGGGGTTTGTAGTGGCTTGTTTACAGCACAGCTCGGAGTTATACAAACACAAGGCAGGTGCTGTTCCCAGCCAACTTTCACTGGAGAGAACTCAGACAGTGAATGATCCCAAATCTCTGATTCTGACACCATGGCAACCTTTGCAAAAGCCAAAGCCCTGTACCAGCTCGCCTCCAAGGTTCAGCCCCAGGCAAGGTGGGAGCTGGAGAGGTAGCTTTGGCATCCTTTCCTGGCTGCTCCCACTGTACAACAGAGGACTAGCTATTTCCAGCCCTCTTATCATAGGAGAGGCTGGAGCACCTCTCCTGTGAGGACAGGCTGAGAGAGTTGGGGCTGTTCAGCCTGGAGAAGAGAAGGCTCCGGGCAGATCTTATAGCGGCCTTCCAGTACCTGAAGGGGCTACAGGAAAGCTGGGGAGGGACTTTTCATAAGGGCAGTTAATGACAAAACAAGGGGAAATGGTTTAAGCTGAAAGAGGGAAGGTTTAGATTAGGTATTAGGAAGAAGTTCTTCACTGTGAGGGTGGTGAGACACTGGAACAGGTTGCCCAAGGAAGTTGTGGATGCCCCCTCCCTGGAAGTGTTTAAGGCCAGGTTGGATGAGGCTTTGAGCAACCTGATCTAGTGGGGGGTGTCCCTGCTCATGGCAGGGGGGTTGGAACTAGATGATCTTTAAGGTCCCTTCCAACCCCAACCATTCTATGACTCTATGATTGTAGTTGAAGAGCTGTAGATTCATTTGTTCAAGGAAGAACAGGTGCCAGCACACGCAGTGAGGGACTGCAGGGTGCTGAGCACCCCACTGTATATGGCCTGCCTTTCTCATCCGAGCTGAAGCACACGTTGGAACAGGGGAAGTGCATTACAAAGGCCCATTTCACATGCTTTGGCTAAGGTGGACTTCAGAGTCACTACTCCTCACTTGCACTGTGCTGAGAGGGTTTAACTTGGAAGAGCCCTCCCCTCAAAGGAAGCGTCACTTCCCTCCCTTTCAGTTTGGATGCTGCAGCAGGCTCAGATTTATTTCTGAAGGCCTTCTCACAGAAGGTTACTCAGCTGGCAAGCTGCAATGCTATGTCTAGCACTTGAAAGGCTCAACAGCAAGTCCAAGAGGCTGTGTCTACATGTACACTGCAGAAAGCAGGAGCACCACCTAGCTGTTCAAGCCAACTGCATGCCCTGCCCCACCTGCATCCTACTCCATGTCAGGGGTGTGGAGGGAGGGCAAGGGAGGGAGAAGCATGCAATCCCCTGGACACTGGGGACAAGTGCCTCAATAGACCTGCTGGACAGCTTAAATGAAGGAAGGCATGCTCCAATGAGAGAGGATAAACACCAAAGCAGGTTGTTCAGAGGCTGTGCAACTCCACCCTTGGAGATACTAAACAATAGACAGGACAAGGACCTGAGCAACCTGATCTAACTTTGAAGTTGGCCCTACTCCAAGGAGGAGGTTGAAGCACATACCTCCAGAGGCCCCTTTAAACTTCAATTATTCTAAGATGCTAAAGACTAAAGCAAAAGCCATCACAATACTGAAATGATTACTGTTCATCAGGCAAAATAAAGCTTCTCTGGCTGCTCAGGAGCATGAAGTACTCAAGCCAGTCTCAGAGGGAAATGGCATTTAGCAACTTTTTGAAGGAAATTATACCTTAAACTGACTTAAAACATTAGATTTCCCTTCTTCCCCAAAGACACTGTTGCAACACGGCTTATGATACAGGATGCCAATTTTTTGCTCTGTTGGTCCTAAACTCTCGTTCCTTCCTCACATGTCACAGAGAGGGGGAAAGGGAAGGTCTGTACTATCAGATCGTGTACTGTACCTGAGTATGACAGGCCCACAGTAGGAAGGGTGTATTTTGGTACACATATCCTCCAGCTGCAGCCGTTCTGCTGGGCTGATATCATAGCTCTGCTTTGGATAGCTGACCAGCCAGCCGTAGTCCACCCCAGTCTTGATCTTGCGATACTCATTCTCCCGCTCTCGCTGCTGCTTCTCTGCCTGCTTGATCTGCCAGTTCAGCTCCATCATTAGCGTCTCAACCACCATTTCTGTGGGGTTCTTCTGGGAAATGCGGTTTGGGGGCTCATTCCACCTGAACCAGGATGCCAGTGACATAGTGCTCTGTGTGTCTTCATTGGGAGTGGGTTGAGGGTAGCAAGGGAGGGAGGGAGAGAAAAAGAACAGTGCCATCATCAACACATCTCAGCTGAGAACATTCTCTCCCGTACACTCATCGAGTCTGATGTTCACTTAAAAGTGCTATTGGATTAGCCACTCGGAACTAACTGGTGCTGAGCGCCTTGAGAAGTCTCACCCATAGCAGCCAACTCGTGCAGAAGGTGAGACAAAGGGTGAAGAGGCACAGTTTCCTTTGAACTTCCAGTCACCACGTAATTAAAATGAAAGTCACAGTTCTTAAAACAGGTCAAGTTATAAAGATACCTTTCTCCCTGCAGGTTAGGCTGGGGAAGCTCTCTCCTGCCCACACAGAAGAGCTGGAGCTAGGCCTTGCTTGTCTGAACCCTCATGGTAGGGCATGACCTTGCAGCAACCCTACACACAAAAGCTCAACACATGGAGTCAAATGATTGCCACATTCTGGCCAGCAGAAGATCCTCAGGAAGGAGGGCAGAATAGGTGACCTGGTGTGGTGGGTTGACTGGCTGCATGCCCGGTGCCCACCAAAGCCATCCTATCACTCCCCTCCTCAGCTGGACAGGGGAGAGAAGAATATAACAAAAGGCTCGTGGGTCAAGATAAGGACAGGGAGATCACTCAGCAATTACCGTCATGGGCAAACAGACTCGACTTGGAGAAAACAGTTTATTACCAATCAAAATCAGAGTAGGGTAATGAGAAATAAAACCAAATCTTAAAACACCTTCCCCCCACCCCTCCCTTCTTCCCAGGCTCATCTGGCTCAACTTCACTCTCGATTTCTCTACCTTCTCCTGCCCAGCAGTGCAAAGTTGCAGTCAGTTCGTCACACGCTATTTCTGCCTCTCTTTCCTCCTTAGGGGGAGAACTCCTCACACTCTTCCCCTGCTCCAATGTGAGGTCCCTCCCACTGGAGACAGTTTTCCATGAACTTCTCCAATATGAGTCCTTCCCATGGCCTACACTTCTTCACAAACTGCTCCAGCCTGGGTCCTTTCCATGGGGTGCAGTCCTTCAGGAAGGGACTGCTCCAGTGCGGGTCCCCCATGGGGTCACAAGTCCTGCCAGCAAACCTGCTCCGGCGTGGGCCCCTCTCTCCATGGGCCACAGGCTGGGCTGAGAGGGACATAACAACATTCCAAGGTTTAAACTCTTACTGCTTCTAAGTGAGAGGTTTCTGCTGCTGGGGAGTTACCCAGCACTTAAAAGGCAGAACAAACTGCACCAATCAACTCTGTAAAAGATGGAATTAACTCCCCACCCAGCCAGCCCCTTCATGTAGTCACTTCAAGCAGACAATGCATGGAACAAAGTTATTAACTATTGTATTTGTATTTAAACACAATGGAGTCCAAAGAAGGCACTGGGGACCTGAAAAGGAGCAAAACAGCATCTGTTTCTTCACACAGCACACTTACGTGCCTTGCTGCTCCTTTCCGTTAGCCCCCAGGGAGAAGGGGTGGCACAAATAATGGCTGCAGCTGGGATTACCAAAAGGCTACTCCCGGCAGCGCCCCAATCAGGACGTGCCATCAAAAGTTTACACGAGGGCAGTGGATTAAAGAGCCTGATTCTGCAGGGCCTGAGCAAATCATCTACTAAAACACAGACACAAAGACAAGGCATAAAAGGGAGAAAAATATGCTTTTGGTTTAAGCTGCTACATTGGGGCCTAGAGCCTTTAGTGACAATACAAATCACCACAAGCCCATTACTACCCGGTAGTCCCAGCAGAGCCGAGAGCCACGAGCTCCCAGACTCCCTAGAAGAGCAACAGGCAACAGGATTCTGCCTTCAGTGCCTGGAAAACTGTCACCACCTGCACCAGGTGAGAGGGTGCTTCATTTGCTTTCATGCCTTTATCATTTGCCCTAATGCAGCCTTGTTCTCTTTCAAAAATGTTCATATTTCCATTAAAGGAAAATGCTCCAAAAACCTGGACAGTCTGTACAGTGCCCCAAGTTTGAAAATACTTCAGGGCCTAATGCTCAGGCTTTTCTAGAATGGGAAAGTTTGCCAAGCTGCATCAAAGGACCAGTTTCTCTAGTCCTATATCCTACCTTTCCCAGCAAGCAATACCAGTTTCTTCAGAAGGAAGGCATAAAAGGGCTGAAAACCTCCAGAGGACACAGATCTAGCTACCTAGGTGTGTAAGGCCACAGGTACTCTTCTGAGACCGTATAAACATTAACACCTTTGCTAGCTTACAGTGCTTATACATGAGGGGTCACTGCTTTTGCCCTGGGTATCCGCTACAATTACTCTTAGGATAGCAGCTGCTGGAAATAATCCTACTCCTGTCTCATTTCTGTGCTCTGCAGGAGGACGAGCAGCAGATCCCTTCATTTGCTTTCATCGCCAGGGTGACTCCAGCTAACAGCTCTCAAATCACCACACAGTGCTCTGGCTGCCTGCTGCTGACTGACTTGCCCAAGACACATGAATGAACTCAGGCTGGAATTGGTGTGCAGCTTCAACTCCATAATCCCACCATCCCAACACATACCTGGATCTTGCTACATGGTGGCCTCCACTCACCATTCCACATTACTAAGGATTAAGATCCTCAGGACCTTTTCCTTGGTCTTATCACCCCTTATGTATCGCACAGATGAGCCCTGTTAGCAGAAGGGAGCAGCAGAACACACCATGAGCTGTTCCAAATGCTTTAAAAGCCTCCTGTTTCTTTTCAGCTGATGTGACGACAGCAATCTTTCATAAGCTTTTACAAGTACCTGACCAATTCAGGTATCATTATTATTTCCATTTGCACCTTCGTCTGATGAAGGTGAGCATGCCCTTCTATCCTTTACCAGCAAAGGGTTAGCTTACTTTGTGCTTATTCAGGCTATGACCTGGTCTCACGTTTGTTTAACTCTGCTGATTTCAGTGACATGAGGAGTAAATCAGCATAAAGCAATGTAACTGTGAAGCTGAGGAATGTCCTTCCAGCTATTCCTAGCTCACCAGCTGTTTCAATATCAGAGAAGCAAGAGGGGAATTTAGTGGTCAGAACTGGGAAAGACAGCAAGGAGATCTGGGCTCTAATTTAACCCACACTGGCTTTCACATGGTCCTGGGCTGTTCTTACAGCCCTTATTTTTTTATTTCTCAGGTCCCCCTCCAAGCCAGTAGTTCTGCATACGGAGGACCCTTTTACCTCGCACTAGTATCGCAGAGGACAATCAGTCAGCAAAATATTTTGGTTACCTTGTGTGAGCAAGGCCTGCTGAAACTGAACTTTGCCCTGTGCCAGAGCTTGCATAAAGCACTGCTACCAGGCAGACTGGCTTTTGATATGGGAACAGGGATACCACTGACTCTGAATGAGACTTCCACTTCTCTCCCATACATGACTTGAAAGATCTGCTTCCACATGAGTATAATGTAAGGAAAGCACCTCACCTGCAGCTGAAATGTCGTGTTCTCAAATGAAGGACAATCCCATGCAAGTATTTCATGCACACTATCAGTTTGTGCTAGCTGTTCCTAAGGGAGTCTTGCTTGTATGAGATTGTTTCCTTCTCCATCTCTCATCCATCATCTCCTCCTTTTGAGAGCTGGAAACTGGCCATCTCTATTTAGCAGGCTTGACAAGCCACCACTCTTCCCACTATGGATCTTTGCAGCCTGCAGAAGATGCTGTAGGCTCCATTAATTGTAGCTGCTGTTTTTAATTTAAAGTTCACATGCAGGCTAATTGTAAAATGATTCAAAATGGCTTTCCTGTTAGGAAAGACTCCAAGGACCATTGGCAAGATGTGGGCAACCGAAGGAAGGCAAAAGTTTCAGCATGACCTTCTTATTGGGGAAAAGGACAAGTCTACACTTTGCAAGCATTCATGTTAAAATTATTAAAAGAAAGAGATACTGCCCCATCCAAATACAGATCTTTATGTTGTACAATTAGTCCATTTTCTGATTCTTTGTTAGAGGCTATACTGGGAGCTGACACAATCCAGTTGATGATCTACTCTGGTGTTATTGAAGCAAAAATTCAGAGTGGATTATGTAAGTTCCGCTTCAGAAACCGATCTGGGTTTCAAGGCTTTTGCCTTGAGCTCACGGACCTTAGACCTTTGCCTAGAAGACAAACCTTCCCCTCACACTGTTGATTGCAAGTCTGGCCAACCAGCTCAAACAGTTTTAAGCATGCATTTACCTTGACTATGCTAAAGTCTGGAATACCTCACTTTCTCTCTCTCTCAGCCTCTGAGGAGTTTCTTCAATTTTCAGTGATTGCTAGTAAGTCCCTCCGAGACTTTTTAATGTAAAAGTTTTCTGTTAGCTTTAGTTCTAAAGAAGCTTTTTGCCTCTGTCCCAATCTCATTTTTGCTCTCCACATTGTCAGTCAGTCCTGCATTTTTCTCCTCACATACTTCACAGCTCTCTGCATTCTCTTCTCACAGCACATTCTGTACAATTTCACCTCATTTCCACTTTTTTTACTTTCTCCTGTATTTCCCCATGTGATTTCCTCTTCTTGCTCCAGAGGATGCACCAAAGAATCATCAGAAATACCAAAGTTCACATACCTTATTTGTTTTTCTGCCTTACTAAAATAGGATTTCAGCCTTTCCTAGCTCTTTTACTAACAAAGGGAGTATGTTTCCACAGCTTGCTCTCTAGCTGTTCGTTGGCCAACTGGAGGCTGTTCATAGAACCTGACAGACATCAGTATCCTTTTAGGCTCTTGCAGGCTATGTCATCACTTGCTAAGACTTGTTACAGCTGGGCTGCTTTCTGCTAAACCATGAGTCAATCAGCAGGACCTGTTTGCCTTGTAGAAGATTAACTTCTGAGAATAAAAAATTCCCTTTCCATTGATCCTTTTCCTGGTTTCCAGCTTCCAATGCCTTCCAGGACAGGAAAGGAATAGGCAGAAGGCAGGAAATGTGCATTTGTGGAAAAAAAGTGAGAATACAGCTGGACTCTCTATAAAGGTATGCCCTCAATTTGACAAGTCTCCTGTGGTTTGCCTTTGCCTTCACAGTCTGTCAGTCCAGGAGTACCACTGACAATCCTTAGTGACTCTCACTATTCCTAGGGGCATGGTAGTTGTGCCAGAGCAGAACAAGAAAAGTCTTAAGGGGTCAGACAAGTAGCAGCCTAACCCAAAGTCCAGTGATGTCAAAGGAAATGTTGTCACTCAGCTGGCTATAGACAAGAGTCCCAGGAAATCCAGTGTCATCCAGGCAAAGCATACCGACAAACTGGGCTGAGGAGCTGGGAAATGGCTTCCCTCCTTTCTCATGGGTGCTCGTTCCTTACTACTACAGTCAGGGGGCAGAGAGACAGAATTTGTTCATGCAACATACCAACTCAACCTTTTCCCACACATGCCAGGTCAGGGGGTAACAACAAGGAAAATTATTTCTAAAAGAAGTGGGACAAGCTTCATCCCCAAAGTGTGCTCATAATTGTACTTTTTAAAAGACATGCAGTCACAGAGAAAACAGATGAAGTGAAACTGTGGAGCATATTGATTTTTATTTGCTTCTTTAGTAAAGTTTGTATTACATTATTCAGAAAAGTCCAGTGTCCTTCAGAGAGCAAAGGGTATCTAGTATCTCCCTGGACTGCAACTTAAAAGTAGATTAAAACTGGTTTGGCTACACCCATCTCTGAATTCTGTTATGTGCTAACTGATGCAATGTTTAACCAGCTTCTCAGGCAGAATTTGTGATGATGGCTATGCTGCTAGCTGTAACTGCATGAAGTAGCGTTAAGTAGCGACAGCATCATAAATGAACCCCAAATTCTATTCCTCTTGTGATAAAAATATTTTAATTTTGTTCCAAACAAAGAATCTTAGCAAGTTCTAAGTAAGAAACTGCTGCCAACACCTTCTCAATTTTATTTATATTTTCTATCATAGCTTTGTAAAAGAATATCTGTTCTCTAGTGCTTTTCTGCAGAGTTACTTACCATTATCCTCTCTCCATACAGAGACTTTTACCTTAGCAGGGCCCAAAGAACCTTACTTCCTATCTGTCTGGAATCTCCCTTCTTGTTTAGTGACATGGAAGGCTATGGTGTTTACACCTACTTGCCATGCGATTGTAATCTCATTGGAAGTTATTATAACATCAGCCTGAGAACCCACATCTATCTCCCACAGTTGCTACGAGGCAATTAATGCTGAAAAAAACAGCTTTTTGATCAAGAAACTTAAAAGAAATGCAAATATCACGATATTAATAAAGCAGCATTCCTCATTCTGACCTGCAGAATGAAAAGAGAGAACTCTCTGGGACACTGGGGTCTGCTTATAGACCACAGCAGAGAACCTGTGTTTCGCTTTATGAGCGCACTGCCTCTCTTGTTGTGATGGACACAAGCTATTTCTGGGGGAAAAAAAAAAATCAGAGGGTAAAATATATCCAGGGACATGACCCTGTTTGAAATAGCAAGGAGTCTGCAATAGCACAAATATAGGGGACCAAGCCAACACTTTAAATGAAACATTATTTATTGTCAAGTCTTCACGGCTGCAGGTGTTTAAGGACAGCAAAAAGAGCCTCACAGCAGGGTCGAGGGGTGAGCTAACCGTGACAGGGCTCTGTGGCACCCAGCAGGCCCCTGCATGGCAGGTAATGCCTGTCTGCCCCTAGCAGGGCAGTGCTGATGGTGCCACCAGCCTGCTGCAGGCTGACAGCTCCCGCTGCTGCCCCAGCTGGCTTTCTGAATGACAAGTGCTCTCCAGAACGCGAGAAGCACGCTGCCGTTTGGCATACAGTCTAATTACCATATTAGTTTTTCTCCAGCAGACTTTGCACTCTCAGCACTATAGAAATGGGCTGGCTCTTTGTCTGGTCTAATTGCCACAGAGAGTTTCAAGTCACTTAAGCCATCTGTGAACGTGCACGACTGTAAGAATCACGGGTGGGTAACAGGAGGGCAGTCAGAGCATCCCACAAGGTGCTCTAGGACAAAGGAGAAACAAAAGTGGTACCATTTCTACCAAAGCAAAGCTTGAGAAGCCTTCTGAAAATACCACAACGGTTATGGTATATGTGGGTTTGTCGCATCTTCTGTGCCTAGTAGCCCTCAAAAGCATTTTTGTAACGAAACGCTTTAAAATTGAGAACGCATGAAAAATGCTGCTCTCACCTCCCCAACTTTTGTGTATTTTGTAATGCATCCTTCGATCTTTTAGAAAACAAGTCTCTCTGGGGCATTTCACATCTGCACTTTGATTGCAAGAGAGGTAAAGAAGAATCCAGCATGAACCAGGCTCCAAGCTCAGGTATGAATGAGAAGGGGATTTTTCAATCACTAGGCAAAACATGAGGAGAAAAGGTAGCTGATCTAACTGGTACAGCTTCATGATCTTCAGTAGAACTGCACTAATAGAAAACAGATGTGCCTCGCTGAAATAAAGAGCTATGCTGATTAACTCTGGATGAAAATCCGGTCTACAGATCTTAAAGAAAAAGTGAAGGAAGGGCCCAAATAGCCTAGAGCTCTACTAATGGCTGGGACTCTCCACAGAATATAATCTTTGTGTTATCTGCAGAAGCAAAAGGGTGGGTGTTACTCAAATCTGCTTATGAGGCAGAGTAGCATTTTACAGTTTGTCTACTTATCAGAGCAAATGAGTTCCATCTGCTGAGAAACAGGACTATTTTCATGCCAGATCCCCACTCATGCTTTAAACAGTATTTTCTAATAGCAACCGTAAAAACACTATATCATATACAACTTACACTGGACTGTTACCTAAACCTACTGAAGCCAGGAAGTTAAAACACACTGATTTACTCTGTTTGCCTAACTGGTTATTAAAAATCCCATATTTTGCTCAGATATGGCTACCTTGCTGTGGTGGGTCAAACACACCTTCAGTTTTATATCTTACTTTGATCTCTCCAGACTACAAAGTTGGGTTTCCAGTCAGAACAGAGGGACCTAAAGTATTTTTCACCATTCATTCAGCCATGTAAATGACAGTTCAGAAGACACATAGCTTTCCTGTTATTAAAACTACTCAAACCACAAAAAAGTATTGCTGCAATAAAGCAGCAATAGCATCTAACAGAAGATTCCAACACAAAAGCCTTTCAAACTCAGAGAGATCCCCAGCTCATCTTTCTCTCTTCTACTGTCATTGTAACTACACATTATTAAAGGGGCAGTAATGTCACAAACTGGAGTTTCTAATACTGTTATTCACAGCAGATACTTACATCTATAGAATTATATAAAGTAAGAGCTTGAAACTCAGACCCAAAAGCATATTTCACCTGGTGTCAGGCCCACTGAAGATTTTTTTTATTTGTATGTTGTGGTGTAGATTAGACTAAGTGCTGTGAAAATGGGTGGGTGAAATGCGCATTCTCCATCCAGACTGAGGACTGATTCTGCTGTGAAAGCAGGAGTAACTCATTGCATCATAAAGTGAGAATGCATTTTAACAGACACCTGTACACTTCTATTCCGTACTGAACCTTGGTTACTGTATCTATCAGAAAGAAGAGTTACTGGAGATCCCCAGGTCTCATTCTGTCTCAAGTCACTGCAGAACTAT